CTGTCTTAATGGTTTGTTATGATTTTTAAAAGTGTCTTTTTGTTGCTGTTGTTGTTAATCCTCACTCAAGGATATTTTTTCCATTGATTTTTAGAGACAGTGGAAGGGAGGGGGGGGAGAAAGAGAGAGAGAGACACCAAAGTGAGAGAGACGTATCAGTTCGTTACCTCGCGCACACACCCCGACCATGGCTGGGAACCGAACCTGCAACCCAGGTACATGCCCTTGACCAGGAATCAAACCCTCAAACCCGAGACTCTTCCGTGCACAGGCCGATGCTCCAACCACCGAGCCACACTGACCAGGGCTTTAAACTGTCTTTTAAACTTACATAATGATGTTGATGCTTTTGCCTTTTTTTCTGGTACTAGAATTTGTATTTTCAAAAGGAGTGCCCTGTAGCGGGTATTACAATTAATCTGTTTTGTTCATAAATGTGTCAACAGCTTGATGGTGCATTTCTGAAATGTAGAGCAAAGTGCTTGCAAACTATAATAAATACACTTGTGTACTTTGTGTACTTAAAAAAAAAGTGAGTTTTTGATCATGATCCAAAGTATTTAGGTCATTGCAGGAATGTACTACATTGCAAAGGAATTCTTTTCTCTGTGCTAAATCTGCTCTACCCAACAAAGGAGGAAATTTTCTGCCCCAAACTTCAACTACATCTTCATCCCCACAATGCTTCCTTTATTCTTTCAATACTCAAAAGACAAGGCGAGCATTCTTCATTTCTCCCTCTGTGCTCTTTTCTGGAACTTGCCCATGCAACTATTCGCTACCTATCACACACCTTCATTAGGCCCCTTTCTATTGTATCTTCAACCATTCTCTCCCTGCGTGGTCATTTCCTACAGACTAGAAATAAGTTCATTCTTTCCCATGCTTTAAATATTCACCCTTGGCCCTGCATTACCCATATTCTTCCACCTTCCAACCTTCTCAATCTCCACTAGGCTTCTTGGGCCTCTACAGATTTATAGTCCAGCCATTTCTGTTGTGGGCATTTATCTAGGTGCCCGGGCTGTCCAGCATCAGGGTGGAAAATCTACCATTTGTAAGGTTGAAATGCTGGCAGCTAGGGCACATTCTCACCCATCAGATACTCCCATTCAGGATATAGGCACTGATGGGAACTGCACAGAGGAGCAGGGACTGGCAGGGGCTTCCAGATTCACCCATGGTAGCATCTAGGGACCAGCACTGAGATGTGGAAATTATTAGCACAGAGAGACATTCCATGTCCAGATGTGACAGCAAGGGTACCATATCTGGGCTACTTCTGGGGAGACTTTAAGAATTAGTTCAACATAAGTTATAAATATTAACTACTGCCTGATAATCAGCACAAAAATAAAGATGTCAGTTAAGCATATTTTCTTCCTTTTTTGTATACATGAACTGTATTTTGTATGTTATATACATATATAATACATATTATATACAAAATACATGTATGAACTACTTTTTTATTTTTACATATTAAGTAATTTCCTCTGAATCACCTCCTTCCCCTATCATTTTACATAAGGATTCTAACTTTATAATTTAGTATTTAATTCACAGAATATTCATTTAGATGAGACTGTGTCTGAATATAAAGAGAAATTAATATCACCCAGGTATCAGTATTGTTGATGTTGGCCCAAATTGGATACAATGACAACTGGCACATAGCATCTCTCTATTTTTGGTGTCCCCTTTTGGTCAAAATGTAGCTGCATCTTATTAAGTGAAAGCAGGAAGCCACAGGGAAGTTGTAGTTCCAGTATGTGCAGGAAGGAGCCTGTGGCTGCTGGGTAGCCCACGGGGTGAGTCATGCGGGTGAGGAAGCTCTTGCCTCGCAGCTTCAAACCCACCACCTACCTAAGCTCTGCTTTCCCAAACTGTGGCTTCTGGTTAACTTCTACCTGTAGGGGGCGCTAGGGGACTAGAAGGCTGATGGAGGACCAGGGGACTTGAGCCTTCTTGTTTTGTTTCCCACTCATCACCCCAGCAACGGCTCCTCCCCTGGGGAGCTGAGGCTGATTTCAGTAACCAGGTTTCTCCC